CCTCATCAACATCTACAACAGCCAAGCACCCCTTCCTATAGCTACGCCCGTGGAGAAACTTGAATCGTCTCCCAAAGAAGCGGACCCGCCAGATCCAGATGCGCTCTTTCTACGCGGGCACCTCGCAGTTCTTTTTGGGCTGCTCATTCGTGATTCCGCGACGAACGAGGCACACGTGCGGCGTATGCTAGAAGCCCCGCAGCGGTTGGTCGAACATGCGCGTGATTTTGTGGCATTTTATGATGCATTTGGAGGGGATGAGGGGCGTGTGGCGAAGGAGGTTGTTACGTTTTTGGAAGGGAGACTTGAAATGTCGTGAAACCCGTCACACTACTTTTCCTTCTTGCCGATTGTGTTCTTAAGTTATGTATCATACTCCGTACAGATCTTCCTGGAAACCTGAAAATTCCGTACGATGTGTTCTATTCTAACAGTCAAAGGTGCGTATGAAAGGTTGGCAATGAACAAGGACCCATTGGGTATGCAGACGCACGTGACAAGTGAGCAGCGATGCTTGAGTTGGCAACTTGCTCAACGCACCCACCACACTCTATTCTATTGCACTGTGACACATATTCCATTTCCACTGAAGATATTCACAGATAATCAAGATACGGTTTTCAAGACTCGGTATCAAGGCCTCGAGCACAGCGGCTAAATCAAGCATTTGCTAGGAACTTTTGCGTAGTGGCGCGCGGGCCATGATTCTTTCAGCTATCCAGCTTAAACTTAGTTGTCGCGAATCTAATCTGGCATATGTTCATTACTTTTCCTTGGTTGTCTCAAGTCTATACGTCACGGTGGTGTAAGAAACCTGGGGCATCAACTAATCAATGGTCGAGTCGTCGATGTGTCAAGTCGCCAGAAGGTGAAATTTACTGTTATCGGTGCTTAATGGTTTTGAAAACCCTTTTATTGCCATTGTTCACGCAGCAGGAGTCATTTTTTTTTGACTCTGTGCTTTCTGATCCTTGGCGTTGAGCACTACCCTACGGTTCCGAATCTTTATCGAAGGTGTGGCCAGGGGTTGCCGTCCTTTCCTGCATTTGGCGACGGGACTTTTAACGTGTAAGTATCTTTCAATTCAGGAGTTGAGCGAATGTCGCAATTTAACAGCTACATACTGTGACAGTTTCTTTCAATATCAGGGCTGCAGTCGCACCACTTTTGACTTCTCAAAACAATGACGAATGTTTCTTCTTCTAAAGTCTGCGCTATCATTCGAAATTACGCGTAAATCAAAATCGTATTCTTCTCATTATGCCTTTTCTCCAGCCAAGTTGTTTGTCAGTCCTACATGATCAGACTTCGGATCCATATCGCGCATTGCAACTATGTACAGCCAGTCTTCCTGAACATGGCCTCCTATGATCTATCAACTCTCCTCTCGCTATTCTGTCAAGTCCACATGATGAACCACATAATCTAGGTAGGTAATGGCGCCATCAACATCTCCATCTGGTACCCCCGACTCCCAAGTTCTTAGACCCAACTGTGCGCCTTAATGAAAGTCCAACATGATGCTATTGTGTTACACGGTAAGTTATTGTCGTACTTTCATTGTTATCCTGTTCCTGAACAAATGCTCAGATGAGCGAGCATGTTTTCAAACTGCCTAAACCACCCTCGCGACGTCAGTGAGATGTTAACATATACTTCAGCGGAAGTATCTGGCTCGACCGTGTCAATGCTTCTCATGACATACACAGGGCCCAGGCTAGATATTGGTTGAACAATACTCCCATCGCAGTTCTGGCTTAGTTATACGTCGATTCCCCTTCCCCTACCTATGTCACGCAACAACTTCTGATGTATACGCCATTTGTGCTATGTTTTCCGTATTCAGGGTTGCCGCCTGTGAATGGCGAAACTCCCACACTACGGCGCGATGGGCAACATCCCAGTTATATAGTGTCAGGTTCCACAAATGTTTTCCGCCCATCTCGTCGTCTGCGATGTCTCTCTACAAAGAAAAGATCGACGACGAAGAAAAATACATAGCGGCGACTGAGTCCGACGATGGCCTTCCCCCGAATCTCAGGTGAGTATGAGATTCATCGCGTTCATCGAAACTGTTGTATCTCACAACGTTTAATCGCAGTTATCAGGCTCAAGACTCCGGTGTTCAACGACGCTTGAGGCAACGCCATGTTCAGATGTGTGTACCCTTCTTTTTCCTTCGCGTGCAGACCTTTACTTCATCTCCCCAGGATTGCGGTTCGTGACATCAGATCATACGGTTACAGTATTTTATCTGTACATGATATTTCAGATCGCAGGGACGATTGGCACGGGCTTATTTCTTGGCTCGGGGCATGCCTTGCGTGGTGCTGGCCCATTAGGAGCTCTCATTGCCTATGTGGTAGTCGGGACAGTGGCATACTCGTCAGTACCTTGGTTTTCCGGCATATCAGTACACTAACGTGGTCTCGGTATCATTAGATCTCTGTGTTCGCTCGGAGAAATGACGACATATGCGCCTGTTTCTGGCACGTTTCCTCATTACGGTACATCTGTTCTTTAACTTGTTTTCGCCATGATCTGATGTTGTTGTATCCAAAGCTTCACGATGGGTGGATCCGGCGCTTGGTTTTGCAGTTGGATGGGTACGCAACGAAGTAACTACATTTCCCACTTCCTACTCACCAATAACCGATAATAGAACTACTTCTACGGAGCGGCGTGAGTTCTCAGACCGTGTTCTGGAGGCGTTATATATAAATACGTCACTTCAGGATTGGAACCCCTTCTGAGATTTCCGCCGCTGTCATTTTGCTCACATTTTGGGACTCCAACGTAAGTTCTCACCCTCGATCAATACTTTTGCCCACACCTAATTCCATTTCAGACACATCACATTGCCATTTATACCGCAGTACGTTCACAATTTCCTTGACGCAGTCTTATAATATAACGAATGGTCAGGTCGTCATTGTGTTTATTATCTCCGTCAACATATTTGGCGTAAGGTAGGAAATGTACTGCAGCATTATAATATCCGGTTGCTGATGGTCTTTCAGATGGTTTGGAGAAGGTCAGTACCTTCATGAAAGATTTATCCTCAGAACTCTAAGCTTGTTTCAGCCGAATTCGGGTTTTCGATAATCAAAAGTAAGGGTGAAATCTGTTTTGCATCGACACATATACTGATTCTACTTTTAGTCAGTCTAATCCTTGGATTGGTTCTGGCTGGACTAATCATCGATCTTGGTGGAGGGCCTAGCCATGAAAGAATAGGATTCCGGGTAAGTCATTGTCCATCCTACTCCTAGTACGCTACATGATGCTCAATATTGGCTCATATAGTACTGGAAAAATCCCGGTGCCATCGCGAGAGCAGGGCTAGTGTCCAACATCAACACCGACCGATTTCTTGGAATCTTGAGCGTGCTGGTTCAAGCGGCGTTTTCGCTCCAGTCCATGGAACTTGTTGCGGTGTAAATTTGATCCTATTTTCTGCAATTTACCTGTTGCTCAGCCTGTGTTAGTGCTGCCTCAGAGACCGAAAGTCCTCGTCGCAATATCAAGAAAGCCGTCCGTCGTGTATTCTGGCGTATCTTCATCTTCTATGTAAGTGCCAGCAACTGCAGGCAGGATGGACTCATTGTAACTGTGACTTCAGATCTTGGGGATCCTCGTCATCGGAATGCTAGTCTCCTACGATGATCCTGCACTACTTGCCAGTCCGTGCAATGCAATGCTTCCTCGTTTAAAAACTTATCGTTTTGCTAGGTACCGGAACTGCGGCCCAATCACCTTTTGTTATCGCAATGACCAGAGCAGGTGTCAAAGGTGCATAATTTGCAGAATTTTACTAGCACCAACTCTCTTACGCGATCGTCCTACTACCCAGTTCTCCCTCACATCATCAATGCTTGCATTTTCACAAGCGCGATTTCTGCCTGCAATAGCTACGTCTACTGCTCCTCACGTATCCTTTATGGACTCGCATTGCGTGGTCAAGCCCCTGGATTCCTCAAATATTGTACCAAGCAGGGCTTGCCTCTTTACGCCGTTCTCTTTGTTGTGAGTTCTTTCGAGCTGCCTGTTGTATCGAGCTCATCAACGAAGGCATGTTTCCCATTCCTAGCTTTCATGAACATATACAGCGGCCCTGCCACAGTCTTCAAGTAAGGCTCATATTCCGAGTCGATGCCGAAGAATACTATTAAATGGGCTTCCTTTTACAGCTGGTTCGTAAATTTGTCGACAACCGCAGGGTTTTTTGGTTGGTTCACAATGAATCTGACATATATATTCTACTGTAAGCCTCTCAGTTTCAAATAGACTTCAGCTAATCTCTTTCAAGATCGGGGAATGAAAGCGCAAGGCCGAGATGTCAAACAAAACGTATATCACAATCCACTGCAACCATACATTGCTTACTGGGGTGTTTTCTGGACTCTCGTATTTGTCTTGGTCAACGGCTTCGAAGTCTTCTTTAACTTCACTGCTTCCGGGTTCCTTACCAGCTGTCTGTGTGCCGCTTAGTGTCAAGTAGCTTATAGCTGACTTGTATTGTGTTTCCAGACCTCAATATCCCGATTTTCACCGGCCTATATCTCGGTTACAAGATCTTCAACCGCACAAAAATATGGAAACCCGAGGAGAGGGACTTTGTCACTGTAAGTCCAAATCACCATGCTATGGGCCAAACAATCTCACTCATTGGCGCATAGGGTATACCATCTATAGAGGAAACCGAGATTCCAGAATTACCTCCCAAAAACATTTGGGAGCGCATTGGAAGGATCCTCTTTTGAATTGAACGTGACTAGTACGATATGTAACATGTATTATATTCGCAAACTTGTTTTTTCACCTGTTTTCTTCGAGACTTGACAAAGTATCAATAATATACATGGGGTTATAACCATGAGTATCAGGTCATCCCCATGTGAATCACCATCTGGGTATGCATGTACCAATTGTATTTCTAATCTCAAAGCCCAGTTGTGCGAAGAGGAAAGAAAAAACAACGAAAGGGGGATAGCAGTCTAGGGCCTGGCCGGGAATTGAACCCGGGACCTCCTCGAAACAACAAATTTATGGATCAACCCTAACAAGGAATCATACTACTAGACCACCAGGCCATAAACACGCCCTTTGTGAGCATATTGTGCGCCACACTCTTGCATTACTCATTAGTAGTGGATACTGGTCTAAACGACATTTATAAAGGTATTCATGAGCTCGAAATACCCGTTACAGGTGCCACGCCAGGGCACAGTACCCGCGTTGCCTTTTTCCATTCTGAGCAAAACGCGCTTGCGCCTCAGACAGCGGTACGCGATCACCTGACAATCGCGTGCTCACTCAAAGTCAGTTCAGAATTATTGTTCACCTTTACAAACCGCGACGTTTGGTTCCATTTCGCCTTACAGTACGCACGATGGACTTATAATATACCAGAGTACAGGCCTGATGGTCTAGTAGTATGATTCCTTGTTAGGGTGCCAGGGTACACATCTCTGTTCACAATTTCGAGGAGGTCCCGGGTTCAATTCCCGGTTAGGCCCGTGACACGCTTTGTTCGATATTTTTTACTAACGAAGTCTGACCAAATCTTGCGGCATGCAGGAAATGTGGAACCCTTGTGTGCCTCGCCATGATCACATTGACAACGTTGAACGAGGTGACAGTGGAGATCAGCTATGTATTTGTTTCAATGTTTGTATGTATTGTTTGTAAAAGTTGCATTCTTTTCCCCGTCTATGCGTTGTGAATAATTCACGCCTTGCTCAAAAGATCTTTGGTTCTATAATCAGTCGAGGGGTGCACCGGTGAGGTGCGGCAGAATAGTCGAAGTCAAGCCAGGCACGGGCCGATACAGATGATTCCAAACGCGAAATTTCCACATACACTTTATGACAGGTTTGCATTCGCCCATATTAAACGTTAATGTCGTCGTCTCTTTGAAGGCTTCAAAGCTTCAGGCCTCACATACATGTAGGTATCATAATTTGATCATGACATGATTTCTATGCTGAAAGACGACATTTCGATGAATTTTGATGGCTCAAGGTCCGTAAAAAAGCTCTTCATCGCGTGCTTAAGGGTCGTCGCGGCATCCACACAAGGCCTACTCCCTTTTCCCCAGCATGACCATCGAGGGACGCGACACTACGATTCTCTCCACGACCATTAATGACTCGAACGATTTTCCAATGTCAAAACCAAAACGCACACCACTGCCCAAGTTCCAGCTTTTTATCGTGTTCCTCATTCAATTCGCAGAACCTATTACTGGGACTGTCATTTATCCGTTCATAAACCAATTTGTCCGCGACACAGGCGTCACACATGGGGATGAGCGCAAGACGGGATATTATGCAGGTGCTATCGTGAGTCAGTTGCGCAACCAACTTGGGATAGGGTGCTGACTGCGAGCAGGAATCAACGTTCTACATTGCTGAAGCTTTGACTGTTGTTTATTGGGGTCGCGCGTCGGACCGCTTTGGGAGAAGGCCTGTTCTGTTGCTTGGACCTCTTGGCCTGTCACTGGCCATGCTAAGCTTTGGGTTCGCAAGAAACTATGGGACGCTGGTGCTATCAAGGTGTATGCAAGGTGTTTTCAATGGAAACATCGGTACGCTATGCTCATTCCCAGACGGGCTGAATTCTGCCTCTGACCATCTGTGATTAACAGGTGTCTCCAAAGTGGTGATTGGAGAAGTCCGTGGCTTTTTGTGTGGCAACATCAGCGTCTTCTTACTCACGAAACAGATCACAGATTCGACTAATGCAGCGGACGCCTTTGCATTAATGCCTATCATGTGGACTATCGGTATCACTATCGCGTACGAATGTTCACTGTTTACACGAGACCTTCTGTCTCAACGACTTTTTGATAGGCCTATGCTGGGAGGCTCTCTCGCACAACCTGCAAAAACATGGCCAGAAATTTTTGGAAAGTTTGCCTTCTTCGACAAATATCCGTATTTTCTGCCATGCGCTATATCTGCATTCATTGCGGGACTCTCTTCGCTGATCGCTTTCATGGGCCTCAAAGAGGTGTGAGCACCGTTTCTAACTTTGACATGTACCTATTAAAACAGTTAAGTTAGACCCTACCCTCCGCTATTATCAAAGAAAAGCGGGAGGCTGCGGGTTTGCAAATTACAGCTCCCGATTCTACCACTGCCCTGCTTTCTGAGCGAGAGGAACATGGCTATGCTGCTACTGAAGACGTCTCAACACTCGAGTCCAGTGCGCAGTCTCAAGAAACTCAAGACCTAACGCCACCACCCCTCCGTGCTCTGCTCACCCCACAAGTACTTCTCTTTCTCGTCATTTACGGGTTTATGACCTTTGGTGACATGTCCACGCTTGTCCTGCAACCCCTTCTGTATTCGACCTCGATTTCACTTGGCGGTCTAGGCTTTGACCCAAATCGCATAGGCACGATCATGGCCTCCTGGGGACTAGTCAACGCGATCTTCCAGTTTTTCTGCCTCGCATGGCTTCTTCGAAGATTCGGTGCGCGCAGGATCCAGATTTTTGCCCATTTTGGTTTTTGTGTCGTCCTCTCTCTGTACCCTGTCCTCAAATATCTAGCTCAAAGAGCTGGAGGTGCCGACACTCTGGTCTGGACAGTCATCATCGTCCAGTTGACTTTTGCATTGTCTACCAGTGCGGCTTACGGTGAGGGTGTATCGATTATCAATGTATTGGATGAAAGCTGACGACGGCGGGTCCAGCATCCGTGCTTATGTTGGTTCTAGATAATGCTCCTAGTCGCGCATCTCTTGGGGCGATTAACGGTATGGCACAAGCAGTCGGCTGTATTGCTAGGGGTATTGCACCGACCGTTGCTTCCTCTCTGTTCTCGGTGTCTTTAGAGAAACGTCTCGCTAGCGGCAACATGGTGTTCATCATCTTGTTGGGAATCAGCTGTATTGGGCTTCGCCTGGCATTCTTGTTACCCAAACCAGCCATTTAGGCATCACAACCTTTGGATTGTGAGTTTTTGGTACTTGGTATCAAGGAGTGATTGTGGTGCCACGATGTACATGTTGCGTCCAAGCTTAGATCTAGAATGAATACTACGTCGATACAGTAGATACAAGCATAGCAGTAAGGTACATTGCCAGAAAACAGGGGTTACGATAAGTAAGAGGGTCTGAGTTGTGGAGAACGCGGAGGAGTATATGAATCATGAGGAAAGTAATTCGCTGTTGTTGGTGAAGACAGTGAACCAGGAAGATAGAGAGGTATGGTGGGTATTAGTTCGAATACATGCTGCATGGTAGGCCGTAATGGCCGGCCAGCAGGTTGAGGTGTAGGATCGGGGTGGATTACTATGGCGTGGACATGGGCTTCTTGTATCATTTCGTCCTCTGAAGAAATTGCCGACACAAGAGCATTGTTCAAGCTATGCCCACGCCCATCCCAAACGCATCTGACATCCTGACCCATTACGATCTGAGATAATCGACCTGTTTCAACATGCCTAACTTCAATGAATCGGGGGTCGAATAACAACACGTAGGGCGAGTGGAATGCCACCGACTCTGCAGTGCCTTCCCATTCGATGATGCACGCGCTGCGGCTGGGAACTCCCTGCTTATCAACGTAAATGCCGAATTCTGCAGGCAAATCAGTGACTGTACACAGAGAAGGGCCATAGCTTTTACCCGAATAGCACAGAAGAAATTCATTCTCATGACATCGAAAAATTCCGATTGGGCGGCATGATTCATAACGTTGCATAATGGAAACTAAGCGGGGATCTTTTTGAGGTATCGGGGTGCTTGATGAACTGTGGGTTGCTATGAGTAAATGTCCATGCTAACAGTAAAAAATAACCTACTCCTTCAAGTCCATGATCTCAAAGCCGTTTTTACTGAGAATAGCAATCCGGGCTTTCAGAAAGACCAAGTCGTACGTATCGGTGGACAGGAAGAATTCCTTGAACTGCTTAAACCACTCTTGTTTTGGGGGCCTAAACCACGGGGACCTATTTGTCGGTGCTCGGGGTCTTTCATTGATCTTTTCAAGCACTGGCTCAAGAACATGGAAATGACTGTCAGACTAGAAGAAAGATCAGAAGGGTGGAATCAGTGCTGATAGAGAGCATACCCCTTTCTTCCTCATGTAAATGACAAAGGTACGGTCGAGCAATTTGCCCACACTAAAGAACTGGACTTCTCTGTTTCCACTTAATTTTTGAGGAGTATGGGAAGCCGTCGAATTATGTTGCGGAGTCGGCACAAGGGCTTCGATATGATAAGCAAACAGTTGCTGATGGTTCCACCTGCGTGAGCCATTTGGAGGCGTAGAAAGAAGCCAGAATCTCACCTTGTCAGCTAGCACGATGAAAAGACCGAAATCGTCGAGCATCGTGCACTGTGTCACTTGCTTGAGATGAAGAACACGCCGCATTGCTAATGGGAAGCATAAGTGACTCCAATGATGACTAAAAGTGCCTAAAACTTACAAGGCGAATCATGACGGAAGCCGATCCAAATGCCCTCTGCACATCCGATAGCCACCAAGCGTCGTCCATCAGGCGTATCTGCAGCCCATTAGTATGCTAAGCGTGGCTGCTATAGCAGACTTACTGAATGGTATTGAACAGGTCACCTTTCCTGTGATGTTACTCTCATTCCATGTCGAGGGACTGAGTGCATAACCAACAGGGGGAACAGTGAAGGTATGCAAGCTCAGTGTCTCAATCTCGAAGACTCTGTTCAATTCTTGCACGACCTTACGCAGCCCTATAGCTTCTTCGAACTTCTGCCTCCATTCCATTCGACTCGCAGACAAATCTGCATATAAAACTATCGCGCCACCGTTCCGCCCATTGTGATGGATAGTGAAGGGGTACAAAGTCTGGGCCTCTCCATTTTCCGATTGGCCACCAGAATTACTTGATGCGGAGGCCGATGATGCTACACTTCGATGGTTTCGACTTGAGCCGGAACCACGGTGGACCGGATGATCACTGAATCTGACAAGTGACAAAACATCAAGAGGTATTGGCTAAAAGGGAAAGAATTTAAGGAACGTTAGTGGGAAAGAGAGTACACAAACGCACTCTTCGAGCAACATGGTACTTGGACACCCCATCTTGCTCCCTGCGTTTTGTCATGACAACTACAAATGTTCAGGGTCGTCGAGCAGATACAGGAAAAACAACTTACGGTAATTATCAAAGAGCAAGCAGAAGATATCGTTCCACTTGGGTTCACCATCTGTTTGGCGGTAGAGTTTCCCCGCGTGTATCATGGCTCGGTTCTCATTGAGAAGATCAAGGTCCTGTTCATAAAGATGAATACAACGAAACAAAACAGCTGCCTTGAGAATAACACAGACCATACTCTGGCCAGGTTGGAAAATAAGGTTAGCATTGTATGTCCACAGTTGCACTTTTTGTTTCGACGCAGCGACGCCGGGTTCCGTTTCTCGGGCAAGGCTCTCAATCATGTCGATGAGGTCAGGTATCGTTCTCAGATCTTCGTGTCCACGAGGAGTGAGTTCAAGTATTGCCTTCAGCATCTCCATATATTGCAGCAAG